ACCACAGGAATCCAGATATGGAGTGAAATCTTCCTTATCAATAAACCTGATGGTAAAAAGGTATGTTGTCTACTTAAAGAAAATAGATTTTTCACTTGCAACAGTTACCACTTTTCAGGATCCTTGAAAAGGCTATTTTGAAAACTAATTTTTTACCATTTTACATGAAGTTTAAAAGGGAACTGGGTAGCATTCTATTGCATGTTCCTTACTAACCTTCCTAGTGAACAAGATAGGTAGAATCACAGACAATAGAAGAGCAAATCAGCAAGCTAACATCTATACTTTGCTTCAGTGCTGTTTCTGTTATGTTAGATTACCAGTGAAAATTAATCATTACAGCATTCGGCAGCTTATTAGTATTTTTATTTTCTGTGGCATTAATAGCACATATAAAAAATAAAGTATGCATTATCCATGGTTTACTTTAGTCCTTATAGTGTTAACTTTGTGGTAACCCTAATGTTCTACATGTTCTATAAAATATCAATACATTTTGATATTGCCTGTAGGTTGCAGTGCTATTGATGGATACTCAGGGAACCTTTGATAGTCAGTCAACTCTGAGAGATTCGGCCACAGTATTTGCCCTTAGTACAATGATCAGCTCAATACAGGTATGGCATAAAATAATCCATTTTGATGGGTGTTTCTTTAACTAAAAATATGAATATATGTATTTCTACATATGTGTGGGAATGAGACAACAGAAATGGTAAATCAAATATATTATTTGGCTCAATTAGCATGCCAGTTCTTATGATTTCTATCAGAGTAGAATTGTTTTTGTTACTATAATGTAATTTCTGATCAGTTTTTAAATTGCCTTCTTTAGTCAGAAAAGCTTATATTATCTTATTGATAATTTTTTTGCTGTTTAAAGCCTGCAATAAACTCAATAATATTAAACCTCATAATGTATGCAGATACATTGGTACCACCTATTACAAGTTATATTTAGTGAAACAAGATTTATAAATGCAAGTTTTTATTTTATATAGCTAGTAGTAACATATCTAAATGTAAAAATCATTTATATGTGTTCACAGCTTTTAAAACATCTTCATATACATTTAGGAAAGTAAATGTCTTCTTATAAAAATTTTTATCTTCCTTCCCTTTCCTATTTTCTCTCACTGTCTTTTTTTAAGTATTGTTTTTGAGGTTATTGTAGGCTTTATAAGTTGTCCTGAAAGTCCTTTGAGAGTTTTACTATAACCAGAGAACCCATAGCATAAAAGGTTTTTAAGACAATTTTTAAATATTTTCTATTTACTGGAAAAAGCAAGAAGAGATAGTAGACAAGAAACAGACCATTAAAGAAAGGTAAGATAGTTTGAAAAGGTAGCAAAAGCAAAGTGGTTAGAATGAGTAAGTGAAGGCTGAATTTATAAGTGAGTATCGAGAATGGAGCTACTGAATCGGCAGTGCGGGCATCATGCGTGGTTAGCACAACCACGAGGGGGTGGACTGAAGACTGAATTCTTTTTATAAAGGACTTTAAGATAAAAAGCTATGATTATAACCTATGCTTGACTGGCTTTTAACAATATACTTCTTAAATGAATGAGCCTTTAAAATACTGATTTCATATCTAATTCCTTCATAATTGACAGTATAAGCCACTTATACAAGCCAATTATAACCAGATTGACTTTGCCTTTTTTAATATTTATTATTTACTGTTTATATTTTACATAAAGACATTGAATATTTTCACTGAAAAATCTAAGTGCTTCGTAGTGACTATTTGTTATTTTCTGAGAAATGATCAGTTATTTAAATAACTACACAAAGTATACTGTTTATATCAGTACATACAAATATACACACCCTTAACTTTTCTTTGAAGTCACTGATATTTTTCCTGCCCAAAATGTCACCTTAATACAGTGATCTGTTCATGAACCAGCAACGCATATGCGTAAGGGTGTGAGCATGATGTTCAGAACCTAACTTCATTGTGATGAAACTTTCTGTAGATATAACTAAGACAAGCAGTTGTGAAGAAGTCAAGATAATTTTTCAAGACAGTTTTATATATAGGTTACTCAGATTTAGATTGCCATTATTTGGGTGTGCTTGTAAGAAGGAGTATTTTTTTGACTAATTGTTAAATTAGGTTCATTAAGTAATTTTAATATTCTGCCTCCAGAGCAGGTGGCTGTTGCACTTCTGGAACAATTTTATGATCATTGTACATCGTTTATTGTCTCTCAAGCTTCTTTTACTCCTCTCTTAAGGTCTTATAAATATCATTGTAAACGAATATATGTAAAAGAGTTCAAGTTGGTGATAATTAATATTTAGAAAAATAGAGAATGACAAAGTGCTTAGGATGATGTTAATTATTTTCTCACCTTAACTTTATTTCTTAATCAAGGTATATAACTTATCCCAAAATGTCCAGGAAGATGATCTTCAGCACCTCCAGGTAACAATGTTTATGTTCTTTGTTAACATCTGGTCATCTTTTGAGCATATATAGTGGAACTTCAGGCTTTTGTCGGGTCTTCTCTTACTTGGAAAACTTAACAGTTCAGAAAGATTTAGAAACATAACCAAATGGAGGTGTCCTATTTCCAGATTTCTTGTTCCAGCCTTGTATGGTTATGTTCTTTCTAATTCAGTTTTCAAATTTCCTTTGCTTCTATAAATCTACTTGCTATCGGCCCTGTGCATGTGAAAATATATGGCAAATTCGAGTGGAAAAAGAATCTTAGGTTTAAAAATCACCCAGAATGTGAAGTTGAAGTCTTAAGGTCAGGGACTTAATTGTTAGTATGACATCAGTTGTATGCCAGACTTTTTTTCCCTGTGGACCTGAGAACGATGAGGGGCTACCTGATGATAAACTCAAAGAATTCTATTTTACTCTAAAAGAGACCTCAGTGACACCTAATTTATACTTCATATTTTATACATAAGGAAAATTTGGCTGAAGTAAATACATGACTTGCCTAAATTCATGTGGCTAATTAGTGGTAGAGTGGGAGATAAGCTGTGGTCATCTGACTGGGCTCAGTGCTTTTTTGACTCTCCAAGCAGCATTTAAATCTCAAATAAGTAAAAGATTAGATATTTCCTAAAGGTCGTTCACATCTCTGTAACACTCTCTGCTCTCTTTAAATTCATGTTATTCTTGATTACGTAGCAAAACCTATTGCTTCTCTGGTAGTTTCCCTCTACGTATTTTTAGTACATTTTGCTGTCAATCTATTATTTTATCTTGGCAATAAAGGCCCCGTGCAGATAGCGAAGGACGATGAAGCGGGCTGATCTGTGATTCTGAAAATTTCATTTCAGTTCACACCCAGCATTACTCCAAAATACATTTCTTTCATGTACATCACTGACCATTTATGACAAATGGACAACATGCTGAATAATTGTTAGATGTTTCTTACAATAAGTAGTGCAATTACTTCTTCAGGCATGTGTTATAACTTAGCCAATTACAGTATTTTCCAAGTTAATGACATGGCACTGTCAATACCAGTTTAGGGATTTCTAAAAAAGGACTGATATTGAGTAAATTATCTTTTCTGAGAGCATTAAAAAATTTTCATGTAAATGACATCTCAGTCTTCCTCAAAAAAACACTGTGAATTCAATTTATGTTAGTAGATGATTCTAATGAGAGTGTCTAATCCCTGGACCAGCTGTCTTTTAGACATGATATTCCAGACTTTGATTTAATCACTATAATCAGATGCCTCGTAATTACCCGTTGCTTTCTAGATTCCCGCAGCTCCCACAGGAAAGGCAGTGTGGCACTGTGGAAGCTCTTCTAAAGGGGCATGGTCTGGGCATCCTCTGTGTCAGCATTCTTTCCCAGCTCTGAGAAGTCACTGTGGCTTGTTACTCTGATGTATGAAGTGGTGTTTTCTGTACATATATGGGAAAACCCACCCAGCCCATCACAATGGAACTCTCACCAGAGGCCCAATCACAGTCACCCCCTCAGGTCTATGTTCCCCAAAACCTTACATTCCTGGCAACCAAAAACTGCTATGGTGCCTCTAAATTGGGAGCAATAAAAATATGAGACAGCAGTGTGTTTGATTTTTTGCATTTTAAGCCAAATGCATATATTTCTTTGTAATAATCCAGGCCATTGTGCCATTAAGTTTCCTCAGGTAACAACTTTTTGTAAATATACCCTAATATTTTATGGCTCTCTGGTCTTATTATGCAAATTCTGCTTTGAAAGGTCATTTAACATGTTTCCTTCTCCCCATCTTCCCTACAAAAAAGTTGTCCTATTCTAGATATAACAGGTGTTAGGTTTAAAATGGAAACTTTATTTTAAAAATATACTTTATGACCTTAATTTTAAAATATCTAATTACTGTAGCTCTGTTTTTATCTAATATTTAGTTCCTTAAAATTATTATTATAATCTTAATAATATAGTATTATGTTACAGCTAGAGGAAAAATATGAATGGAAGAAAGCCAAGAAGTAAAACTACTTTGCAGATACTGAAGTTCTCTCTCTTCTCTTCTCTTCTCTTCTCTTCTCTTCTCTTCTCTTCTCTTCTCTTCTCTTCTCTTCGTGTGTGTGATTTTCCTTCTAGCTCTTCACTGAGTATGGCAGACTGGCAATGGAGGAAACATTCCTGAAGCCATTTCAGGTGAGTTGGGGTAAAATGATGCTAAATTCTTATCACATTTTCCTGAAGACCATAAGCAGTTATTTTAATTAATTGAGAGGGTCGTGTTTTCTTTTTATTTTATTTAAGAAGCATATTTGAATACCTATTTAATGATATTTGATGCAAAGGAGGAAATAGAAATGGGGAAATAAAATTTTAACAAATTATTTTTTAAAAAAGAAATGGAAAAATAAAAAGGTGAATGAGATATTTTGGTTCCTGCAAGAATGTCACCTTTTCTTCCCTGAACCCAACCTTTGAGATGTCACAGAGACCAAAAGAAAATTGATGAATGTGTCAAACATAAAACCTAAAAACAAACAAACAAGACTCCTGGGACAATAGGAGATAGTTGCAGGCCACAGAAAAAGCTGGCCAAGCACCAGCAACAGGATATTGGGTGGGGACAAGATTTTTGGAGGTGCCCTTTTTTTTTTCTTACTGACTTATGTGAACCATTACCTGCTCCGTTACACTGAGTATCAAAAGTACAGCAGCCAGCTCAGCCTTTGCTGGGGACAGCAGGATAAAATCAGAGCAATATCCGAGCTTGGATTAGGTGGTATAAGCAGACAGTCTGGCCCTTGTGTGGTCCCTTCTTCCCCTACAATTATTTTATACCAAGAACCAAGAGATTATAACTAAGCCTAACAGCTCTTGAAAGCAGCTACTTGGAGAAGGTACATATTTAAATGCCAAAAACGGTCCACTTGAAGGATGACAGCTTCAACCTAGGCTTATTAGAGGGTGCTCAGACTAAGCCCTAGAAGTCAGCCCCTCCACGTGACACACATCACCAGCCAAGATGGATCATGCGCTGAGGGGAATGTGAACACACAAGGAAACTGAACAACTGCTAAAAGAGTAGAATTAATGGCTTAGATGGCAAGTAATTTAAAATGAGCTGTATTAGTTATCCAGTGCTGCATAACAAATCATCCTAAAACTATAAACATTTATTTCACAAAGTTTTTGAGGGGCAAGAATCTAGAATGGCTTAGCCTGGATGGTTTTGGCTCTGGGTCTCTCCTGAAGTCGTGCTCAAGCAGTTGGCCAGGGAGACATTCTCTGAAGACTTAATTGAGGGTCCACTTCTAAGCTCACTTACATGGCTGTTGGCAGGAGGCTTCAATTCCTTCCCACATGGACCTCTCCATAGGGCTGCTCACAACAGGCTTCCCCCAGAGCAAATGATCTCATTGCCAGAGAGCAGCCGAGAGAGAAGCTGCAATCATTTACAATCTAATCTTGGAAGTGAAGACACCATTAGTTCTATCAAATTCTACCAGTCATACAGACTAACCCTGGAATAATGTGAGAGGGGACTAAACAAAGGTGGGGATATTAAGAGGTAGGGATCTCAGGGGCTTTCTTAGGGGCAGACTACCATATGAGCATATTAAATATTCTTAAGAAATAAGGGATGAATGTCTTATGCTTCTAGTAATAGAAGATTAGATAAGAATTAACCTTCTTCCTGACAACAATAAAAAAAAACCAGAAAATTAAAAATTTGTTTGAATGAATCAGTATTAACAAGGTAGTAAAAAATTGCTGTGATCTGAGGGAAGGTGGAGGCCAACGAGGGGATGGGTATTATCATGTAAACACCAAACAAAAGAAAGCTAATGTAGCTACATTAATATCAAATAAAGTAAATTTTAAGAAAAAAAGCATTACTTGAGATAAAAGGGTGTTTCTTAATACAAGAATGAGTTGTGAGTAAACAAATTGGTAAGTTTTTAAATAAATATAAACAAACATTGTCATATATGAAATAATTACAGTAATATCTTGGTTTGTGAGCATAATTCATTCCAGAAACAAACTATTCGTATTACAAGACATCGCTTGTTTACCACGTTAAAATGTATTAGAAATGTTTGCTTGTCTTGCGGAACACTTGCAAACCAAGTTACTCGCAATCCAAGGTTTTACTGTATTTCTAATTTATGATAGTTAAAAAAGACAGAACCAAAATACTGGACAAAATAGCATGTAAGTTTTGGTCACTGTATCAAACAGGAGGAGTGTTATAATTACCTAGACTTTAAAAAATTATATGTAGTTGTTAAAACTTTAAGAATTACCACAAAAATAGAACTAGAGAATATTATATCCAAGGCCATAGAAGGTGGAAATGGTATAGAAATGGACAAATAAAACATGTAAATATTGTAGGCACTCTAAAGAGGACAAGAAAAAAGAAAAGAGAAGCAAGGAAAAAGAGAGACAAAAGGAAAGCAGAAGGCAAGGTGGCAAAGATAAGTCCAAATGTATTCATGATTTCAATAAATATAGATTTAAATCACCAGTAAAAAGAGATTACTTTCTATAAAAATGAAAAATCCAGCTATATGTTATTTATAAGAAACATATTAAAACATAAAAACTTACTCATTTGAAAATAAAAGTATGGAAAAAGAGCTGGCCAAGTGGCATGTTCTTTAAGAGTTGGCTTGGGACGCCAGCTCTGGGCAGCAGGGCCCCGGTTCGGATCCCACATTAGGGCCAGTGACGCTGCACCCTCTACAGCTAAGATGGTGAACAACAGCTCAACCTGGAGCTGGACTGCTGCAGTGGGCTGCTGCAGTGGGCTGCCGTAAGCTACCGTGAGTGGCTGGCAGCCAGCATGAGTGGCCGGCAGCCCCCGTGAGCTGCCAAGAGCCGCCGTGAGCGGTCGTCCTATGGCTGGCGAGTGACTGCCTCACCCGGGAAGAGCGCAACGATAATACCAACATGGGCCAGTGAAGCGACATCCTCCACAACTAGACTGAAGAACAAAAGGACAGCAACTTGTCTGCTCCCCTTCCCCGATTCCCCAATACTCATCTTAAAAAAAAAAAAAAGTCTTTAAAAAAAATAAAAAATAAAATAAAAGTATGGAAAAAGATATACCAGGCACATATTAAGTGAAAGAAAATTTGGGTAGCTATATTCATGTGAGACTTCAAGTCAATAAGAATTATTTAGAATAAAGAATTTCATAATTATAAAAAGTTGACTTCATCAGGAAGATACAAGAATTCTAAATTTGTATGTCAAAAGCCTCAAAACATATAAAGTAAAAGTTGATAGAATCATAAGAGGAAACGGGTCAATTCATTTAAACACAGCTTTCCTAACTATTGATGGGTTAAATAAATAGCAAATTGGTAAAGATAGAGAAGATATGAAACATATAGTTAACAAAGTTACTTTATTATATACTGGGGCATGTATAAAATACTGTACCTAACACAGAGTATGCAGATTGCTCTTAAGCATACAGGGTGCATTTACAAAAATTTACCACATACTAAGCCACAAAGCATTTCTCCACAAATTTCAAAGGACTGAATTCATACTGACCTCATTCGTGACCACAGAATAATTTTGTTAAAAGTTAATAACAAAGAGTTCATTTTATAAAGCATGTTTTGGAAATTTAAATACACATTTCAAAAATAATTCATGGGTCAAATCAAAATTATAATAAAAATTTGAAAATACTGAGAACCAAATGCTTTAAAAACTGTGCATATTGAAAATTAAATGCTATAATGAAAATAGTACTTGGAGGAAAAAAATATAGTCCTAAAAGTTTATATTAGAAAAGAAGAGGTAGAACCAAGATGGCGCAGTAGGTAAACGTCATAACCACATCAAAATTACAACTAATCTACAAAACAACCATTATTGAGAATCACCTAAAATCAAGCTGAAACGAAGCCTTTCAACTAAGGATGTGCAGTAGAAACCATCTCCAGAATGGTAGGAAGGTCAGAAACGTGGACCAGGCTGGTTCCACACCCATGTGTGACCATTAAGGATCGGGAGGGCTATCCCTTAGAGGAGCGAGAGATCCCAGCCCTACCCTTGCCCAGGATTCCAGTGCCGGGGAGAGAAGTCCCTATAATTTTTTATTGTGAAAACCAGCGCAGACAGTGACTGAATGAGACTGCAGCTGCACGCATAGGCGCTCCTCTTAAAGGGACTGTGCGTGGACTTACCCACCAACGGAATCACTCACTCTGAGCTCCAGTGCTGGGGCAGCAACTAAAAAGGCGGCAGGAACAAACGGTGGGGAATTGAGTTACCTGGCTGGAGGGTCAGCAGTCTCCTGGACAGGGGAGCTGGTGCAGGCTTTCTTTGCTGAGCCCTTCCCCTTCCCAGCATGCAAACACAGGTGGCCACCATATCTGAGTCTGCGCTGTTCATTTGCCACGCCCTGGCAATTTGAGATCTGACTCCGCCCAACTTTCCAGCACACACAGGCCGCTTTCAGTGGCTTTTTCATGCAGACCGCCTGCGTTGGCTCAAGCTACAGACTTGCCTAGGGTGTCTCAGAGATTCAAGGAACCCAGACAAGCAGCATCTGGCTTGAGCATGTCCTGTACCTCTGGCTGAACAGCCCTAAGCCGACATGAGCGGCAGCCGGCCTGGATTCGCAGCTTTGCCTCTCAAGGCACTTCCAAGCACAGCACAGGTGGCAGCCATCTGTAAATTTCTTTATGGCTCCCACTGGGTGGCCCCGGGTGGGGCATGGGCTGTAGCTGAAGTAGACCTACAGTGGATCCCCTCCAAGGTTGTCCTGGGGCTGCGCCCCCAGTGACCAGCTTCAAAACGAGCTGAAGCATCACCCAGCTGCCTCCAAGTACAACACACCCATGGGGTGCATCGGGCAGACACCAGAGTCTTGCTGAGGCAGATCCTGCTCTGTAGGGTTAGCCCCTACACAACTCTTCCGCTGCAGTCAAGGCCAGTCCTCACAACCAGTGAGCCTGAGGGTCAGTCCCTCCCATTGATGTGCAATTATCAACCAAGGCTCAACTACAAGAGGAGGGCACACACAACC